TCATTCCACAACAGTAACTACCAAAGTTCAACACAATCCAACTTAAATAATCCTATAAAGCAAATCAGAAAACCAGACCATTACTTTAAAAAAAAAAAAAAAAAAAAAAAAAAACCAACGAAATTCCACTACAGAATATCATCATAAGCAACTATCTCTCTGCCTTTGAATGGCCTATCCACCATTGGGCGAACCTCGTTGCTACTTCTCGGGTTAACAATGGCGGAAGCTAGCTTATTACTTCTCCCGTGCTTGCTCAGTGGCATCTCACCTCGCAACAACTTCGACGAAGACGACGTCGTTTTGTCCTTGTCACCACCACCACCACCACCACCCACGACTCCTTCCCTCCAATGGGCAAGTGGATCCGTCGCCCACATCACCTTCACCTGCAACAACAAAAACAGAACAATCAATTCATGCTCAAAGCTAAATTTCGATTAAATTAATTCGGCTTTATCGAAACATGAAACCTATAATTAACCAATAATGTTCAGATTCTCTGTTTGCTTTCCTGAATTTTCTCAGAATACAAACAGTTGAGGGAGAAAGAGATTACCTTCTTGGAGTCGATGGTGATGCCGAAGGAGGGGTCGAGAGCAGCAGCAATGGCAGCCTCGGCGGAATCCTTGGTGCGGTACGCGATGCATCCGACACCATCGCCGTCGATGCGGATGCGTGAGATGGAGCCGTAGATCTCAAACCGCGACTTCAAATCCAGGACGGAGCAGTCATGAGGTAGCCCCATGATGACCAAACCTGGCGGCGGCGGGGGTTTAGCGACTGGCTTGTCGGGGAGGTCATCATCGGCGGCCAGTTGAGGAGGCCTGACGAAAGGGCGACGCCGTTTAGAAACGCGCGCGGGCACGTGGTGGGAGGGGTAGGGTTTGTCCCTCTTGCGGCTCATGTTTTCAAGGGTCTGGATTGTTCTGACGAGTTTAACGTTTGAGAAAGTAGATGCAGGCAGAAAGGGTTAGAGTTCAGATCCGTTTGCGTCGTGTTGTGAGTTTGTGTTTGATGGTTGAGTCAGTGACTCAGTGAGTGAGCGAGTGATCGGTTCCCGCATTGTTTTCTACCTGGGTTAATGCAATTTTCACTCACGTGTAACATAATTTTTTAATTCTGCCAATTATATTATAATGTAAAAATATGGCGTAAATTAACGTCACAACATACAATGTTAAAGTATTTTTTCAAAAATAAATTATATATTTTTAAGCACAAATTAGTCCTTGCCAAGTATATATTTAAAAATTAAATAAATTAAACAAGAATACCATATGCTTTTAGAGGTACATATTAGTATATCTTATTAGAAATCATCTGGTATAATAAATATACCGCTTAATTTGATGTGAAATTATTATATACAGACAGAATATGTTAAGAACGAAAAGAAATAATAGATAAAAACACAATAATAAAATTTTGAATAAAAAACTAAGAGGATCTAGCTATATATATGTCCATATATATTTATTTATTTTTTGTTTTATATATTTTATTATTGTATCTGGTGAATATTATAAATTGTAATGAAATAATTTTCACATGTGCTGAATGTGTCATACAACCTCAAATGTGTAGGTATTTTTTTAAGTGAAAAAAAATTTAAATTTTTATTGATTTCACTCATTTTAAAATTAATAATTTAAAGTGTATTTAAATAAATTTATACCAAATTAAATTTTTTAAAAAAATAATCTACAACTATAAATATAAATCAAAAGAAAGCAATTTTAACAAAATTGTAAACTTTAGACTGGTAACTATAGCAAATGGGCTGGAAACTTCAACCCAACCCGACCCATGATGATGGGTTTGGGCTTGACCGCTTGGGCCCAATGAGCCAAGCTCAGGCTCCCAGGTAATATTTTTTTTTTAATTTTTAAAAGAATTATATTATGAAATGCAATTACAACTTTAAATATACATGCTCAGGCCCAATCTCCCGCCACATCGACTTAAATGATGACAAGGAGGCACGGTGCGCACGTGGCCTGTGGGCCCCATGACAATGACTGTACACGTGTGATATCAGGTAGAGAACGGAGGTGGATGCTTGTGAGCTGTCACTGCCAATACATCTTCAGTCTCGTAGGCCCCACACCTCATTCTTATCTGTTCCTCCCCCCTGAGCACAGTGAAAGGGAAAGTGAAACTTGAGCACTGGGCCCCGCAGAACTATACAGCTCGGGCGGCTGGGCCCACACGCTTCACCACTCGTTTCTCGCCACGTTTATTCACTGCAGCCTTTTAAAATGCTGGATTTGCCACCTGGCCACGTGTACGGTTGCTTTCATGGTAAATTATATGAGCCGTACACGTGGTAGACAGCTTTTGTCGCTTTTAAGAGCCAGATTTGGATTTTCCTTGGTGGGGCCTCTTGTGTACACTTGGCATTTTGTTAATGGACCCTCTCTGTCTCCCTCTTTTTTTTTTTTTTTAATAAAAAATGCGACATTATTTTATTTAGAATTTAAAGTTTTTTTTTTTTTTTTTTTTGTTTTAAAAAAGGAAAAGGTTGAAAAAACCGTAATTTCTCTTTTTAAATTAAAAAGTTTGACCTCGATGCTCTTCTTTTCAAAAGGATCTTTAAAGGGGATTCAAACGAAATTTTTGCGGAACAAATAAAAATAATTTAACAAGTTTAAACCAAATCAAATTATTGTATTCAAAATCAAAACATTATATTTAAAAGTAAAATTTTATTATTAGTTTACATACACTATTTTTTTTATACAAATAAAAAATATTAATTAAAATAATTAGACATAAAAATTATATCATTTAAACTATGAAATACAAAATATATCTTAACAAAAAATATTCAGGAACTAAAAAATGAGGTTACGGTAAGAAATTAGTATTACATACACTAATTTTAATAACGTTAAATTTATCCCTTATATTTATGACTATAATATTAACTATTGATTCTCATTTCTTCTTCAATCAAATATCATTATTAATTTTTATATTTAAATTTTTTTTGTATAAATTATCTTTAATATAAAACGCGGCTAAAAAAGACATTAAGGTAAAGTGTAATGAACTTTTAAATCAACATGAAAGTAAATAAATTATTATTTTTGAACATCCAATGATTTCTTGTTCACCATAAAAACCAATTTCACATGGCAAATATCACCAACTTTATAGTATTTTCCACCAATTAGCTTTCATTAACCATTAAAATAAAATAAAAAAAGCAAAAAGAGAATTTGTATTCAACTTGAAATAAAATTTGATCAAAGTGGAGAAACACACAAGCAACTCATTAAATAAAAGATATCACGTATACAACTTAACGGGGTAACTCTAGCTATTCATATAAATTTTTTAATATGTTGTATTATTATTATTATTATTATGTTATTTATATCACAATTTTGAAGATAATATGCATAAAAACACAAAATAAGAAGATAAACAACTAGGTTTGAATTATGAATTAAATACAAAAATAAATTAATGTATTATATAAGTTATGAAATTTTAAAACATTAATAATAAATAATTATCTATTGAAATTATTTTTATTATATGATATATAATATTAAAAAAAAAAAAAAGATTTGGAACAGTAGTCTCCTCAACCATCACTTTCAAAAAATGGAGCTTTGAAAACATCTCTTTCCACACTGACTTGTAAAATTGGCAAGTTACTTTCACACGGTACTTTTTATAATATTATTTTTTATTTGATTTATATATATATATATATATCTTGAATTTCATTTTAAATATAATTTTTATCATTGTAATTAAAATAAATATATTTTCGGTAGGTGACCCTTTACCCTTTACTTATTATCCATTATAATTTGGTAATTAAACTTATTAAAAAAATTAATTTTTAATGTATATATGTTGGGATCCTCCAAAAATTTTGTTGACGAAATTTTTAATATAATTTTTTTTACGAGAATTTGAAGTCGTTAGCCGCTGATTGTCATATCAAATTGGTAAACGTTTTTGTTTCCAAATAACAAATAAAAAAAGATAATGCATTTTAAAATAGCTTGATTTTATTGACCAGAAAATGAATTTCATTACGTGCTTGGTAGTTGCCCTAATTTAAAATAAGGTACACATACTAATATATTTCTAATAATAATTTATAAATTCAATATATGTGCATAATACACATTTTGTACTCAACATTTAAATATTAAGTACCATAAACCGACCAATTAATTGATTCCTTATTATTACCTCCACTATTTATAATATTCGGTCCCGAAATTTAATTCGGAATCAATTTTAGCAATTTAAAAATAAATAAAAATTTATTTATAAATTAATTTAATTTTATTTTTTTTTGAATTTATAGGTTATGGATGTAATGGAAAATAATTTTACAAAAAATTAGTGAAAATTTAGGTTCGGTAGTGTTTTCAAAAAAAAAAATAGAAATAAGGGGTCAATGTGCAAATAGAAAAAATTGTATCGCATAAGACTGTCCACTCAACAATTCCCGACGAACCGAAGCACGCCGCGTGGCAATACACGCAGAAGTCGGTGCCACACAGGCGATCCGCGTGTCTCGTGATCAGACGGCCCATACTTAATCTCGCACGCGTGGACCGCCCGAATTTGTTTCCTCATTAAGCGCGATCGGACAATCGAGATCAAATCGCGATAGACAGTTCAGATCAACGCAAGATGGATATAAATACCTCGCATCACACGGGAACCCGAACCCTAACCACCAGCCCCCGTCGAAGAAGAAGAACCATACACTAAAAAAGGAGGCCGATTACCGACCGCTGTCGCATCAGAGCCACTGCCGACTGCCAAAAAAGGTAAAAATTTCCTCTACCTGCTCGGAATTTGATTCAAAGCACCCTTATGGCAAAATCGAAGCAAAAGAGATGGTAGATAAGTCGAAAATCGCGAGCAAAACCCAATGGAGCCGCCATGGCCAAAACTCCAAAATTCATCCAATAAGCCCCTTACTAATTCCTGTTTCACGTGATTTTTTTATTATTGTATTCACCGTCATTTTCTGTGCAGGTGAGCCGAAAAAAGAACTTTAGCCGCAAAGAAGGACTGGTAGAGTTATCGTCCCTGGAGGTCCTCCCAATCGGTAGTTCGATTTTTTGTGATTTCCAGTACAACTGAGACCCCTAACGTATTTTTCTGAAGGGATACAGTAAAACAGGCTAAAATCGGCCAAAACCGACCAAAATAGC